CCTTGCTTCGTCTTTTATAAACAATAAGTAAGTGATACAATTTGCCGGTGTCTGTCTCTTCATCCGATTACTTTCTTGTTGTCTTTAAAGCAAAAGTGAATAGAATTTTGTTACGGTAACACTGCGATTTACTATGTAGGGCTTCATCAACGCTTACCACCTGTTGGAGTTTTAGTCAAGCAATAATTTAAAAAGTTAAAAAAAAAACAAGAAAAATTAATACAACAAATAGTGTATCTACGCTGTAAATATAAATGTCCATATTAAAGACGTAAAAAATTATAGTTCCTCCTGATGTCATTGAATATAAACAAGTTAATTTTCGCCGAAATTACATTTAAAAGGAAACAAAAACTATCATTATAAGAAAACCGGAATGCTGCAATTATCTTAGTCATCTGAGTTGCTTACGTGATGGAATATTTTTATTGGAGTTTTTATATAAAACGTCACTAACTTACCTACATATGCAGTATTGTAAAATTCCAGCTTGTAGTTAGAACAAACAACAAAATGTATATTGAAGTTTCCCTAGAAATTAAAATCATAACATTTTATATTTATTTATTTGTACATCATAAAATTTAAGTTCTTGCCTCAGATGTCAGGTGTTAGGGGTGCCATTTTGAGAATGAAAGTCAACGTAACTTATATTTTTAAACAAGCCAAGAAAAATTTCAAAAGCTCAAATGAATTAGATGTTACTGAATACTTTGTACTTGTACTAGCTCTTTCTCTGTTTACTTTTCTGACTGAAACGAACCTTCACAACAAACAAATTAGGGAAGAGGGTGGTAACCTTCCAGACGGACTCCTAGGCATAATGGAGTCCTGTCACCTAATAGACTATAGCTAAACGCTTTTACCAAACAACCTGTATAGGGTGCCAGTATGAGGCTGTGACACAATCCATCTTGGTAACAACGCATATATAGTCTTATTTGTTGGAAATTGGCTGCAGGTGCCCATGCTGCAGTAACCATTTACTTTCACGTTTACTGTAAATTCGTTTGTAACTTCGGTTACAAACCGTCGTTCTGTAAGACCGCTAGACGTAGGCATTTCAAAGAAAGCTGTACACAAAAAATCCCTAAACAACAGCTCATACTCATTATGCGGGGTATTTGGTGAACGCAGTTAAAACTCACGCAATAATAATGCCGCTCGCTTCACCAATCTGTGAAAGTTTAGTTTAGCATTTTAAGATAGATTTTTCGATTTTTTTGATCGCCAGTGCGGACTGTCAACTTCCACGTGCCATGACAACATATTACTCCTTCCTTATCAAACATATTAATAATTAGGTCTCAGATGTTTTATTTATGAAATTGTGAAAAAATTTGATTACTACACAGAATATGACATTAAGTGGCTACATAATAATAAAATAGAAATACTAAATTGCAAAAGAGAGGGAAACAAAAAACTCCTGTTTGGATTAAACTGTCTTACGTAAAACAACTAGAAAATAAACACTGTGCCTGAGTTGCAGCGTGGCAACTATGTCAAATATCCTCCTTAAGAGGCAGTCTACGGGGAGGCCTATGTTCAGCAGTGGAATTTGCAGGTTTTTTTTATAGGATAGTGTGACAAACGAGCACACAGTCCACCTAATGGTAAGTTCTCTACCCTCATCACACGAAACACAGCAGCGTTAAGCTGCTATTTTACGCTGGTTTTCTGTGAGAGCGTGGTCCTTCCCCGGTCGAGCCGACCCATTTGTATTGCAACTATACTACTAATATAGCCGCAGCATGGCTCTACCGCGTGAAAGATAAATTAATTAAAAAAAAACAAAAGAACGTGAAACAAAAAAGCATAAGTTACAAAAATATTAAGGTATAAATGATATTTTGTATATAATTGCAGAGATAAAAAACCTCAAAGAAACTCTGAAAATATTCCCCTTACTAATTCTTAATAAGATTAAATATGATTATATAACCTAATATAACCTTTACAGCACACGTACGTGCTAGAGCCATACTGCCATTGTTTCTAGTGAGAATGGGTCTGCTCAACCGGGGCAGTCTCACTCTCTAAGAGAATTCCAGAGTGAAATAGTAGCTTAATGCTCCTGTGTTTCGTATAGTGATTGTAGAAAACCGGAGACACTTTTTATTAGTAATGAAGTATCCCATCTTAATTCTCGGGGTTGAAAGTACATCTGCATTTTAATTCTCCATCGAGAACATATTATGTAGGTGTCTATTTCTCCATCGAGAACATATGTAGGTGTTTATTATTCACAGCATCTTCTTATCATCAGGTGGACTGTTCGCCCACCCTTATTCTATAAAAAATACCACATGGAATAACTTATAATATCCGATTTGTTTAATAAACTTGTTTCATGATGTAAAGAACAAAAATTGATAGTAATTTACAAAAATATAAGTTTGTTAGCAACGTAACAAGTGCGTCATGCCGGCATTAGAGATGCAATTTTATTTACTTGTTTCGCAAGCTAACTGTCCTTGTAACTAATATTTACCTGTTTTGTTCAAATTGTGAGCAAGGCTTACCTCGCCGTATGTTCTCGTGTGCGACTGCCAGATTAGGTTGACTTTAAGAAACCAATTTACACGAACATTATCTGCGGTACATTCTTAAATTATGATCAAATGTACTTAAGAAAATAATTTCATTATTTTATTGAAGACCTCTAATTACGTATCGATCAGAGAACACCAGCTAAGTTAAAGCAAGCAAGTTGTTTCATCTTAAAATAAGTATGTATTTTGAATTTGGTAAAGGTCATCCAGAAAATGAAATGTGGAGTGGCGGTGTAAGAATATACACTACCCCATAACGTAAAACAAGTTGCATGATGCGAATTGCTTATTGTATTAAATAAATTAAACATGGCTAAAACTAGATATAGTATAAGTAGTTCGATTTTCATGAGTCATTAGCGGGATAACGTAGAGCTTTTAGAAATAAATATCTTGTTTTAAATATATTTAAATAAATGTTAATCATAATTTAAAATTACCTACGCCAACGATAATGTTGTACGTTTTAAAAAAAAGACTCCTCGTTTATAAAATATAAAACTGATATGTTATACATCATTATTACCATCGTAATTACATCCCTTCACTAGTACACTAGTGAACATAGGCCAACTCAGCAGTGGTCTACCAATGGATAGGTTGTCAGGTGAACAAGGCAAGACCAAGTTAATGTGTAACGTCCATGCCACACCGATACTGTTTACTGTTGGGAACATGTCGCATGAAGTTGTTGAAGAGTATACATAGAGAAATTTGTCGGTTAAGGTGACGCCAACTTCGATCAAGAGGTCAAATGACAGATTCAACTCGGTGGGCAGCGTTTGGGAGATTACGACCTATATTCTCGTTACTTACTCTTTAACATATAAAAACAGTATTGTACAATCACAGCAATAAGAGCGTGACCAGTGATGACATATGGATCTGAGGCATAGTCCAACACAGCTGGCCGTAAGTCTAGTCAGTGAGGTATGGAGAAGACCATGTTCGGAGTTTCTATGCGTGCTAAAATTCGTAATGAATATTTCCGCAGTAGAATCGGGGAACATAGATCAGTAAGCTGAAGTGGCAATGAGCCAATCATGTAGCTCAACAACAAATAGGGAAAAAATTCTTGAGTGGCAGCTTCATACGGTAAGCAAAGTGTAGAGCGGCCCTCCACTAGATGAAGTGACGACCTGGTAAAATATATAGAATCTCGACGGATACAGACAAGTCACCTGCATCAATCAACGTGCAATATATTATATGGCATTCCTTAAGCTAGAACTACGATCAGCAGCGTACTTGTGAAGAGCTGTCATGATAATTATAAATTAAATAGCTATTTTAGTTGAATGACTATTCAAGACTCACTTATTTAACTAAATAATAATAATGGTGCAGTGACGGCATAAGAATCACCACTAGCCCATATGATCGTGTACTCCAAGATACATACAGCGGAGTCCAGATGACAACCAGTCTCATTGAACACCTGATAGAGATGGCAGATAAAGACTAACAACGTTATCCGCCTGCGGAGGTAGTTTTTTTCGGGGACTTTAACACCCACCATAAGGAGTGGTTGTTCCCATACGAGAAAACCGACCATGTTGGGAGAGAGTTTGCAAAGGAGAGGAGGCAAACCTGCGTTATTGCTAGGTCTCACTCAGCTTGTTCAAGTGGCGACGCGGGTACCAGGTTTAGCCCGACATACACTCAATTGCTTGGACCTTCTGCTAAAAACAGACCGAGACAGGCATATCTGTCTCAGCTCCACTAAGATCATCCGATTATAGTCTGGTTAAATTCGTATCGAACATCTCTCCTCTGGATGTTTGTGCAGCGCCCGGGTAGCACACAAGTGGTATAACAAAGCGCTACAGCAGTCGCTTAACGGATATATGTAATGGCTTTACATTCATAAGTAAGTACTACAGTAGCAACAGAAAACTTCTCAATTGCTTTTATGCCACTGAAAAGTGTCCACTTTATACGGGCTTCAGTGCTTCAGTAGCAGTACGATAGCAGCATGATCAGTTTGTGGTAATAACATGAATGGGTCGGCTCGATCGGGGAAGATCACGGAATACCTCAGGATCAACAAAGCATTTTGATTCTTAATTGAAGATAGATGTAGATGTCTATGGGCCACAGCTTCCACTTACCGTCATCAGCTGTGTGTTTCTTTGTCACCTTTATTCTATAAAAAAATTAACCCCTAAGTGTCGTAAGAGGCGACGGAGAGATATAAAACAGGGTATGGGCTACAGCTTATTCCTTATAACAACTCAAAATTATAAATTACTGCGGTTGACAACTCACCTGCCAAGCGTGGCAACTTTCTGATAAATCCACCTATGAGGCAAACTATGGAGGAGACATCTGCTCAAAAATGGAATTTTATGGTATACTAATGATTACAACTAACACATACACAATTCAATATTAAGTAGGTTGCATTAACTAGCAAGAAAACGAGTTTACAGACCGCTTAATAAAATGATCCTGGTCCGTGAGTAAACTGTAAAAGATCCAGGATGTTGATTGATGCGGGCTTATGACCGTGCTTTGTAGCATTTCTTGGGGGGGTGCCTCTTTCCAGCAGGGGACTTATAATTGGCTGTAATGATAATGATGATGATCTTATGGATAGTATTTCTCTAAGAGAAATATCAGTTAAACTAATAATAAGAATTAAAAATCTATTCTTTCTTTACCCGTTTGCAATTTTCAGGTCTCGTTTCGTCCACAAACCTCGTTTTAGCACTTCTTTTCTTATGTATGCAACTTACGAAAAAATTTTTAACTTCTTAAGATATCAAGTCAATATTATATATTCGAATGAAAAAGCATTGCGTTGTTTTTAAGTAAGGAAGCTGATGGGATATTTGCTTTGGTAAATTACTTACCCATCCCCACAAAACAAAAATGTGTTCAGATGGTATAAGTAATTCAACTAAAAATATTTTAGTGATCTTTTATGTACTACTCAAGATTTTTTAAACTTGTATACTTTCCGATTCTAAGACACGTTACTACTAAATCAAAGTCGATTTGTAATGCATTGTACTAGGAGTTTCTTATGCACTTCCGTGATAAACAACACCATTGTCCGATCAGTTATCTATAGATAATTAGGACTTGTAATTATTATGCGTCAGTGAACGACGCAAGACATAGTTATTGTAAGCCAGTGAATGCAGTATAAATGGTCTATGACTTGGTCTATGTTCTCACAGCCCTTTCGAAGACTAAAGTGTACTCACGAAAGGATCAAATAAACTGTGAGTATTAATTAAAAGCCTTATTTTAAAGATACTATTTAATATTAACTCCTTATTTAAATTAAAATGTTAACTGTGGTAAGCTAGCTAAGCTTTTCTTTCTTAATTTAAGTTTCTCTTCTTTGAAACTTTGTTACATATATTTGGATTCTATATAGATGTTTCATAAAAAGAATCGCAATACCAAAATTAATCCGTATTGCTACCAAAATTGGTTTATAATTATTCTAAGGCTTAAACTGGAGCCTGTAATTAGATAAAAGTCTCGTGGAAAATATGCGAACCTAAATGTAAGGTATGGAATTTGATAGCGAATGTCAAGTTGGTCGAAAGACCTGTATATTTGTGTAATCAGTATATTATGTATCATATATATATATATATATATATATATATATATATATATATATATATATATATATATATATATATATATATACATGTTTATATGTCTGTGTGTATTCTATGTATATTTAGTTTATTTCATTCCCTTAGGTATATTTAGCATTAAATTCGCCTTTTGTTCTAGTACTGTTTTTAAAGTTCGATAAGGATTTAATAAATAAATCCTTCTTTAATTACCAAATACCTTTTTATTCTCATTACGATTTTATTAATATTTGTAGTTGTTCAATGACGACAAAAATTTGTGGCTCAAACAGTTGAACTGGAAGTGTTGTTTCATAAATTATATTATAGCTGCTTTTTTAAATAAAACTAATTTAACGGATTTTATCGCGTATATTAACTTATTTTATATTCCCGACGTTTCGGGTGCTTTCCAGCACTCGTGGTCACGGGGGACTGAGGTGTTTGACGTCCTGATGTCATAGTTAGCCCGGCTACCTTCAGTTTTTTAATATTAATTTTTGGTTCGATTTACGGAGAATGACCTTACAGTATCTTGAATTCTAGCAGTGGTATACTTGGGTTTGGATTTGATTTTATTAATTATGGGATCCCAAGCAGATGGCAGCACCCATCCATTTTCTCTATTGAAATTAGGATGTTTTTTTAATTTCAATAGCCTCGCGTATCACCTTTGGGAGGAATCGGTGTTCTTTTGCGAGGATTTGTGGTCTATAAAATCTAATGTAATGGCGGGGACGATCTTGAACATGTTCACAAATTGCAGACTTCCCGATACGTTGGTGCTTCACGTCAGCTATATGTCGGGAATATAAAATAAGTTAATATACGCGATAAAATCCGTAAAATTAGTTTTATTTAAATGTGTAGTGTTCGCGTAAATATAAGAAATCATAGCTGCTCTTGTTTATCATATTGCAGAAAATATTATTTGATTTAACTTTTTTTCAGATTAGAGATGAAGTTATTCATTGTGGTGTCACTGTTCTGTGTCGTGGCAGTCACATGGGGCAAGCCCGCTTCCACTTACACCGATAAGTGGGATAACATTAACGTGGATGAAATTTTAGAATCTAAACGTCTGCTCAAGGGTTATGTAGATTGTCTCTTGGATAGAGGCCGCTGTACACCAGACGGAAAAACCTTAAAGGAAACAATGCCTGATGCCTTAGAAAACGAGTGTTCTAAATGTACACAGAAACAAAAAGAAGGTTCTGACAAGGTTATCAGGTTTTTGGTTAACAAGCGTGCTGACCTATGGAAGGAATTGTCCGCTAAATATGATCCCGACAACAAATATCAACAAAGATACAAGGACAAAATCGATTCCGTAAAAGAGAAACAATAAGTCCTAAGTAACTGTTTTACATAATTTTGTGAGGATTATAATAAAATAATACATAAACCCAGATTTTGAACTTTTTCTTATGTGATGTTCATAATTTTAATGACTTAGTAATATTTCAAAGTCAATTAAAATAAATCAACAGATCCGTGTAGTGGCAGTGTAAGAAAATCCAAGACAGTCAAGTCTGGTAACTTTACCAATGGAAGTTAACTTTAAAATCAGAGGTAATTCTGTACTGATACAAAATTAGGATTAATACGGAAAACGTTACGTTTTTCGAGATATGCCATTTTTTGGATGAAAATACAATAATTAATGGACAGCGTCGCTTTCAATATGGCAACGCGAGAGTTAATTTTGGCATTTTATTTTAACGCGGGATTGTGCCGGCTAAATAACCTCTTTAGTCAGTGCTCCAGAACTTTTGTTAATTTTGTTTGAAATAGTGAATATATCTATCTATATCTTTGTAGTTACGTAATATTAATAGTTATCAAATGTAATATATAGTTTTTGAGATAAATGTTATTCTTAAAATGTATCTAAAAAACTAACTTAGCAAAGATATTTTATAGGATAGGGTGATAAATGAACAGTCCACCTGACGGTAAGTGGTTGCTGTGACCCATAGACATCTACATCTATCCTCAATAAAGAATCAAAATGCATATGCGTCGTTACCCGTGAGGACTAAGATGGAATGCCTCCTTTCCAGTATAATGGTTCTCCGGTTCTCTACACTCACCATACGAAACACAGCAGTGTTAAACTGCAACTTTACGTTGGTATTCTGTGAAAAAGTTACCATACTAGTGATGCCACGATGTGACGGTTACTTTGCAAATTTTTTGGTACAACGAAGGGTTGTCACTTTCAACCTATATTTTTAACCGATTACAATTATTTAAACAAAGTGTTCTGTATTTGACATTCTATAAATATATATTTGTATCGATGTCTCACCGTAGCAGCCCATTAGAACAAAAGTAAAGGAAAAGAAAAGTGAAAACATTTTTATTATTACTGCGTTGTCGGGCATTAATATTACTACTTACCATTTTTCATAATTTCAACTTAGTGTATTGATATTAATTTGCACCAAAAAAAAAAACAGTGTAATTTTTAATGATTTAATATTTTGCTATTATGGGAAAACAATATTTAGATTGATTACAATATTTATTACCTGACATCCTGATGATGATGAATGATAAAAAAATGAAGACTTGTTAAAATAATTATAACAAGTTTTTTTTTTGACTTATACTATAATTGATTTAAGCTATTATTAGACCAATTTCTTTTTTAATTTTAGACGAGGATAGTTTTGTTTCATATATTTTAGATTTTTGCTTAAGAAATTATTGTGACAAAATTTAAATAAAAAAATTAAGTTGAGTACATAATCAAGAATTTTGACAACCCTGACAGATATTTTCAAGTTTATATGAAATATTCAGAAATGGGAGGGCAACTTTGCTGCAAGAGTAAACTTCGCTATTTACAACACAACTAAAGGAGCAAATCATAACTTTGAGTGTTGTGTATGTGTGTAAGTATATGAGTGTTCAAACTTGAAGTCAAATACTATTATTTTCATTATAAAACCTGATGGCAAAGTTGCCACAAAGTGAGGTTAACTTTGCCAATTTCTACTTTTGAATATTTTGCCTAATCAAAAAGCCTGAAGCTTAAACCAGATCTATGAAGAATATAATGTCACATTTGATATTAACGCCCAGGCTGGAAGTACGTTTTTTGTTGGAAAATTGGTTCTAAACTTGTAAGTTCTTCCAAAAATGGAAAAGTGTCCAGATTTCACGGTACTCTGTACACGGTACACGGTGTCGTAAGAGGCGACAGAGGGAAACAAATCAGAAGACGAGCAGCAGCGTCTTCCCAATAACGACTGAATATAATAAATTACGTTTGCCAACCTGCTTTCAAAGCGTGGCAACCATGGCAAATATCCCTCCTATAAGGGAATATATGGGGAGCCCTATATTCAAAAGTAGACTTTAATAGACTTTAACGGTAAATCATAAATAAATATAAGTCTTACATTCATAGAGTGTATTGCCACTGATCATAGTATATATTCAAGACGAAGTATTTCAATGCTGACCTTATGAGGAAGCTCAAGAGCGGTCGAGCTATGAAGAGGGCTATGGTAGAAGCTTCTTTGCGTGAAAGACATCGTAATAAGGATGGTGGTAGTGGAACTGGTTCTACTTATCTTTTAGTAGTAGGCCAAGGAGAAGAACGTGGCCTTTCGGTATTCCTTCGGCAAGACCTATGTATCGCAGTGCACCTGTCATGAGCTGTAGTGATGGTGATGATGAATATAAGTCAAAAACTTTGTCTATCAAATCGAATGTAGTGACGGGAGCGATCCTGTACGTGTTCACAGACTGTAGACTTCACGGAGCGTCAATTATTCACATCAGCTATGTGTTCTTTAACGCGGATTTTTATGGATATTTTAGTTTGTCCTATATAAGAGAGATCACATTCACAATCATAATCAAAATCGATAATACCTACGTGTGCCAAACCTTCAAAGTTGTATGGTTTACCAAAAACACACAAGCCCAATGCTCTACTACGTCCAATAGTGAGCCAAATCGATTCACCATCTTACAGATTGGCTCAACACTTAGCGAAAACTCTTACTCTCACCACGCAAGGGACATACAAGATCCATAAAAACCTGCGTTAAAGAACACATAGCTGATGTGAAGAATTGACGCTCCGAGAAGTCTGCAGTCTGTGAACACGTACAGGATGGCCCCCGTCACTACATTAGATTTGATAGACCACAAATCCTCGCTAAAGGCCACCGATTCCTTCTAAGGATGGTTTGCGAAGCTATTGAAATCAAAAGACATCCTAATTTCAATAAAGAAGATGGCTGGGTGCTACCATCTGCTTGGGATCCCTTAATTAATAAAATTAAATACCAACCCATGCATACAACTGCAAGACTTCAAGATACTGTAAGTTCATACTGCGTAGATCGGAACAAAAATTAATAGTTTTTAATCTGGAGGTAGTCGTGGTTAACTATGACATTGGGACGTCATACATCTCAGTCCCTCCGGTGACCATGGGTGCTGTAAAGTTCTCGAAACGTCGTGAATATAAAGTTAATATACTCGATAAAATCCGTAAAATTAGTTTTATTTAAATGTGTAGTGCTCGCTGTGATATAGGAAATCATTACCCAACAACGTTATCCGTATACGGAGCTAGTTTTTTTCGGTGACTTTAACGCTCACCATAAGGAATGGTTGTTCCCATACGAGAAAACCGACCATTCTGGGAGACAAGTTGCAAAGAAAAGGAGGCAAACCTGCGTTATTGCTAGATATCACCCATCTTGATCATGTAGCGACGCGGGTACCAGGTTTAGCCCGACATTAGTTAGAACCTAGAGCTTAGCTGTCGATCGCAGAGTTAGAACTCAGAGGCTTCGTGCGAAGAAAAAAGCTTTTAATTCTGCTGCTAAATCCTGCAGGCGGGTTCTCCTTAGAACACGTATTCTACCATGTTTTGACCATGCTTTGTACCCTCCTGGTAGGAAGCAATTTTGATCTCTGTAGAAGGCTGTTGAATCCAACTTCTGCCGTTCCTCTTTACCACCCATTCAACCTGACGGAACACTGGCTCACTCCGCAACTAAAAAAGCAATATATTTGAATCTCTGTTGAGCAACTCACGTCTAGATATATTACTCGTGATTCTTCGATGCCGAAGGTCGCTATCCATACAAAAGAGGTACGTAGAGCTTTGCAAACCTAACATGAACAAGGCCTATTGACCTGATGGTATTACTACAAGGGTACTAATGGATTATGCACCTAAGTTGTCTCCTGTTTTTCGTCCAAGTTTGCCAATGTGCAACCAGTACCCAAGAAGGGTAGTCGTGCCGATCCCTGTAATTATTGACCAATCGCCATGACCTCCATACTCAGTAAAGTTATGGAAAGGGTACTGAATAGTAAGCTGCTGACATACCTTGAAACAAAAATGACCTCCTCAGTGACCATCAATATGGTTTCCGCCGGGGATGGTTCATTGGGGATATTTTTGTGTATGTCACGCACTTCTCGGGCAAGCCCATCGAGAAGAACTATGAAACTGTAGCAATTTCACTCGATATCTCGAAGGCTTTTGACAGAGTTTGGCACGCAAGTCTGCTGAGTAAGCTTCTTGCTAATGGCATCCCCACCGAATTTTACAACTTTTTGAGTTAACGGTCGATCAGTGTATTTATAGATGGCTGCTCTTCTGACCTAATGCATATTAATGCCGGAGTTCCTCCGGGGTCTGTTCTTTCTGCGACTTTTTTCCTGGTGCACATCAATGACCTACTTCTACCAGGTATTGTTGGGTATGTAGATCAGAGCACAGTCATAGAGATAATCATGTCCAGTGCAAAAGACGGAGAGGAAGTAATATGTTCATTCAGAAATGCCATGATAGAGCGGAAAAATGCGACCTTAAGGATTGTCTCCCAATGGGGTAGCGACAGTCTGGTCACTTTCAACGTCACCAAAACACAGCCCTGTCTTTTCTCCGCAAAACGGAGTCCGTTTGATCTGGCTCCTATTTTTCGAGGTACATATGTAGAGGTTACTGATCATCTCGAGCTTCGCGGCTTACAGTTGAGTGCTAACCTCAACTTTGGCGCTAACATTGAGTCTAAAGCACAAACTGCGGCCAAAAAACTGGGTGTTCGAAATAAGGTGAAACGATACTTCACACCTGGACAGCTTCTAACTTTATACAAAGCTCAAAAAAAAACATGCATGTAGTATTGTAGTCACCTTTGGGATGACTCGGCAAAATATCAATTTGCCGCACACGTTGCGGTGGAACGCATAGTCAAGAGGCTTATCGGTGACAAAAAGGTGGTAGAAACTAAGGTTCACAGCTTATCTCGCCACCGACATGTTGCTTGTTTCTCGGTCTTTTTACAAATTGTACTTCGGAGAGTG